AAAAAAAAAAAAAAAGAAAATGAGAAACGGTAGTAACTTAATTTCCCACGTTTAACTGTAGGTCGAAGCTTGATACATATATAACAAAATCTAAAACAAACCAGAAGATTCTGTATTGCACATGTGTTCTGATATAGTGATTTTACCCTTAGTGAAGAAAGATTAAAATGGAATAAGGGAAATCGTAAGAAAAGAGGAAAGAGAATAAGATTAGAAGGAAAACTGGAGGAGACAGGAAGATTGCACAAATTTTGGGAACCTGACAAAGAAGAAAGGAGAGAAAGAGGGAAATAAAAGATAAACTTGAGAACAGAACAAGAGAACTAGAAACAATGTCCACAGTCATAAAAATAAGAACAATAAAAAATAATACAAAACCATAAAAGTAAAGCAAAAAAGTAAATTAGGAAAGAAAATCTACTTTACGGCATGTCTCTGTTGCCCCTGGTGGGCAAAGTGAGCACATGGAGCCCATATCCATCTTGATTATCCCGTCAACCCAGCCACAGGTTCACTTTTTTCTTTTTCTGTGTTTAGTACAAGGTCTACAGGGTCTCACTAAGTAGATCGGACTCAATGATTCTCCTGTTTTCAGCCTCCCAAGTTCTGAGATTACAAGCATGTGCCACCACTCCCAGGCTCAATCCCCACCATCTCAGCGCGCCCCGCAGACGAGGCTGGCACAACACGCGGGGGATCAAACCTGCGACCCGTGTGTCTGCTTAAGCCGGTGCTTTAATCAGCTGAGCTATTTGGCTGGCCCCAGACTGGCTTCTGGCTGTGAGGCTAAACCCAGTTTGTTCGGTCTGCAACACTGTGTGCCCCACATTGGGTAGAACATGGCTACCTGATCTATTGCCAGTGTGATCTCAATTATGTGTCAACTTGACTTTGGGAAGTGCCAGATGGAGCTGAGTTCTGAGCTGCAAGGTGGCTAGCAGCCAATCACCCTCTAATGGGAGAACATCAAAAGCTGAATAATTCACCAGCCATTCCAGCACACTGTCTCCACGGCTCTGTTCCACTATTGCATTTGTCCATGAAAGTCTCTGGGAGGGCCAGCCAGATAGCTCAGAAGTGGCTGCTTAGGCAGATACAAGGACTGGGATTTGATCCCTGGCATGCCGTGCCAGCCCAACCCCCAGGACACACCTGTAATCCCAGCTTTTGGGAGGCTGAGAACAGATGTCTGATCTGTGAAGACCCTGTAGACCCTGTACTGAATACATTTTTTTAAAAAAAATATCTCTGGGGTCACCAGTAGTCATTACGAATCTGTAGGTTTGAGCTACCACTCCAATACAGCGAGTTTGAGCTCAGGGATGAATTGACTCTTGCCTCATCTTCCTAGATTAAGGTCTGTCTTGGCACACTTCCAGTGCAATTCTATTCTCATTTCAGATCTTTATTGGGCCCTGGGGGGGGGGGCCTCTATCCTCAGGATCTGGTTCCCTAAGCTGAGAGAGGTTATTTCACCACTCTGCCATCTTCATGGAAGTCCCCACACCTTATCCTCACCACCAACTGCTAGATCTACCTGCTTGTTCTCTCTGTAGGTGCCTGGTGTTCCCCTTGGAGACCTTCTCATTAACTCACTGCAAGCTTTCACAGACTGACTGGAACCAGCTGCCCCAGAATGCGCACCTCAGACAGCTAAAACATTTGGACCTGAGTGGTACCAGTCTGACAGATTTTAATCCTGAGCCCCTTCGAGTTCTACTGGATAATGTCGCCACCACCCTGACCACCTTGCATTTGGAGTCCTGCAGAATCACAGATAACCAGCTGTGCGCCATCCTGCCTTCCTTGAGCCGCTGTACACAGCTCACTACCTTCTGCTTCATAAAGAACTCTATATCCACAGGCGCCATGAAGAACCTGCTGTGCCACACTGCTGGGCTGAGCAACTTAAACCTGGAGCTGTACTCCGTTCCTCAAGATGTGTATGTTCCCAGGCACAATGTCCACCAGCAGAGACAGATCCAGGCTTCTGAGGCACTGAGGATAGTAAATCAACTAAACTACCCCAGGGTAGTATGGTTTTGTGTTGTTCACTGTGAACTCTGTTATGACTTTGAATCTCACCTACACTCTGTCCCATGTCCTGCATGTATATCTGTCTAGCTGGATGTGCATAGCTTATGCTTTCTTCTGGGCACAAGGAATGCAGAGCCTTTAGTTGTACAGAAGACAACAGCACTGAAGAATCATTGGTTTGAAAGTAGAAGTGACCTTTGTGGACATCGTTCCAGGACAGGATCAAAGGCAGGAATTTGAGTTTCTAGAAGTAAATAAAGGATTGCGACGAATGTGTGGATGAATGTCAATGAATGTGCGTAAAGGAAGGGCTGTTAATCGGATGATTTCCTCTGTGATCATTATGCCTGTTTTTCAGATCAGAGTTCATGAATCTCAATAAGTGAGAAAAAATAAAAGTCCTGAGTTTTGAAATCAACTATGATTGACCTCAGGAACTTACAGTGACAAGCAGATCTATTTCACAGTGTTCATTCTCTTCCAGTTTACTGTTTCTTGCTCTCCTTTCCTCATACGACCTTGTTACTAGGGTTCTGCTTGAGTTATTTCACCTGAGGGACAGCCACAGAACTGTTTTGTTTGCGGATAAAATTTTACTGATTTTTTTTTTTTTCTGTATTTTAGGGAAGGGTCTACATGGTGTTCAGGGTCTCACTACTAGATCGGGTTTATAGTGATTCTCCTGTTTAAAGCCTCCCAAGTGCTGGGACTACAGGCGTGCGCCGCCATGCCCTGTCTCAACTGCAGTCTTAGTGCACCCCAGGGGCGGGGCCAACACAGCAGGCTGGGTGATCGAATCCCCAACCCCTGTGCCTGCTTGCAGGCGCTTTAATCTACTGAGCTATTTGGACAGCCCAAATTTTACTGAATTGTCTAGGCTGGTTGTGCAGTTCCCATCTTCTTCCATAACACTCCACAGTGCAATGATAAAAGACCCAGTTTAGCTCAGCTTTTTCCTCCTTATTTCTGTGAATCTGTTTCAAAGTTTGTTTGTTTGTTTGTTTGTTTGTTTGTTTGTTTGTTTTACGGAACCAGGGATTGAACTCAGGCCCTTGCGCTTGTCAGGGAAGCACTTATTCCACCAAGCCATCACCCCAGCCCCTGTTTCAATGTTAAAGTTGTCAACCAGAAATGCTTTTCAGAGACCAACTCTCCAAAACAGGGTTCTTTGCTGAAGTACAGGAGTTGTGATCAAGAACATGCCTGCAATGGGAGGCAAGCGGTAGGCTCAAGATATAAGAAACAAATGCAAAGTTTCTAGGCAAAATGAGTCCACGTAGGCTGCTAGGAAGCCAAACTATTTGTTTTTGTTTTTGTTTTTTAATTTTATTCTTTTTCCAAAATTTTATTGATAAACAGCAATGAGACAGTTTCAAACCAAATCGGAAGTACAGTTTCAACAAATAACACACTGCATATATTCTTCTTAGTGGTTAATTGCTGTACAAGATGCAGACTTGAAATCCTATTTACAAACACCATTAGAACAAATCATTCTATTCATTAAGAGAATGCAACTATATATCTATCCTAACCACTTTGAATACACAGATACAAAATGGACATTCATCAGTATACCCTATTTTTTCTAAGTTCCGTTATTGAATATTATAGGTGTGTAAACTCAGCAAAATATTCTAAAAGAGTCCAGTAGCCCATAATAGCATTAGGTCTTCTGTTTAACTGTCAATGTCAGAAATTATTGACCTGAGTCCCCCACAGCTCAACATAACAGCATGGCTTTACTTCCTATATTTCGTCTTCATACTTTTCTGCTGGATGGTTAAGACCAAGGTAAAGCAGGACCTGTGCAATAAGAGTTGTAGCTTTTTGGTCTGAGAAGGTCAGTGAAATCCCTTCAGTAAACTATTTGTTAACAGGATCCTGGCAACACGCAAGGCAAGGAACATGCTAAGAGCAATGGGAAAGCCTCCTTCCTTTGGAACTTTAGTGTTAACCCGATACCAAAAATCCTTGACACTGGTCATAGGTAGATCTAGAAGAGTCAGTTTTTGGTCCCTGTCTATGCTGACTAATGTTGCCCATGGGAGCTCTGTTCTTCTGATGCTGAACTGACAACATATTGTATGAAACCATAACAAAAGAAAACAAAACATAGCACAAGGATGCAACTTTGTGTGAAGATGTAGTCCTATTTATTTATTTATTTGGGGGGGCAGCTCAGCCCACCAGGGGGCGGGGCGGGCTGGCATGTGATGCTGGGGGATTGAACCACGGTCACTGTGCTTTGCTAAGCTTATTCTAAGTAGGTGTTTTAGACCACTGAGCCATCTCACCAACCCCTGTAGTCCTTTATTGACAGTACCAGAAAATATGAAATAACCCAAAGCACTCTAGTTCTTTTAAATCTAGTTTACTTTAATTCCTAAGTTGATTTTTACCCAAACTGAAGTTTTCTCATCCTCAAATTATTCTCTTTCAGACTGAAAGCCCTGGTCACTGTCTGTGGACCCACCAGGCCTTTGAAAGGCCCCATATGGGAGAAACCCTGACAATAGAAGCAAAATCCAGGTCTGGTGGCACGTTGACTAGGCTTTAGGCGCCTTTCCCAGGAACGAAAATGTCTATGGCTAGTGATTTCTACCTGCGTTACTATGTAGGGCACA